ATACTTCAAACATCTTCGTGTTTGAAAACCTCCTGTCCTACCACTCTATAAATACTCTTGAAAAATCTCCATATGACAACACATGCTAGTCAGCTATGTAGGTACAGCTCAACTAAGCAGCTTATCACCAGAGCTTTAAGAAGAGAAATGACAAGGAACTGTTAATCCTGCCTCTGATGGGGCAGAGTGGCTGAGCTACTGCAATTTATTACTCTCGACTTAGTGAGTTTGGGGAGGGAAAAACATACTGTAACATCTGTGTTTCAGAGGTTCAAAACTCATTGAGTCTTGCACCACTTAATATCTTATTCAACTTGTACACAATCAGGAAGTGTAAAGTACTGCAACCCTACTGCAACTCAGTCATCTACTGACTTCCCTTACTCCTCTCCTATCTCTAAAGGGCAATTCATAAAATTAAAATGAGCAACAGAAAAATCTTGTTTTCTTGGTAAACTACAGAAGTGGTGAAACCAGGATGTACCAAAGCCAAGCAAAACAAAAAACTGTTCTTGGTTCATAGTGCCCCTTTAGAACTGGTTAAAAGGAGTATTTGTATGGAAGTTGAATTTTTAGGCTCTTATCTCCTTTTAGACTAATGAGTGAAGTATCACAGGACTCTAACTCAGGCAGTATCAAAGTGTAATTTAAAAAAAAAAAAAATCAGTTTCACATATGCCAGCCACGGATTAACCTCCTCTCCATACTCACCCAAACTGACGCGAAGGCAGTAGGTTGTTCTGCCATTTTTCCAAATCCTTCAGCTGAACATCAAATCTGGGACTGATTACACCACACTATAAAACAGAATTCCATTACAAACTGGAGAACTGTATAAAGTGCATTTTGTACACCTGTCATTCTAACTCATTATATGAAAGAATTAAACAACTGCAATTAAAATATTCTGGCAGCAAAAGATTAGAGTATCAAAAGCATGTATCATCACCGTAGTATGAAATAGCTTTCTCTCAGAGAAACCACGACTCACAGTTGTTCAGCTTTTATTTCCTTAGCCTCACCTCCTTCCTCCTGCCTAAACAGAGTGACACACACTGCTGCTGATGCTAAACAATTTAATGACTAGACCTGGGAGAGCACAAAAGCATGCTATAAACCATTAAAGATTAAGTAGTATCCTACTTCATCAAAAAAATGAGATTATTCAAGGACAGACTACTTCTAATCATCATATGGAGTTAGCAAAAAAACAAAACAAAACAGAACAAAAAAAACCACTAGGTTTTAAACAAGGAGAAAGTAACACACACACAGTTACCAGCATCGCCAAGTTAATCGTATTACTTATTGACCATAACCACGACTAGCACCTCCAGTTACCTCACTGGCTCCAATTTTCTTAACTTCCAAGAGCCAAACAGGACACCTTACTGCAGTGATGGACATTTTCCTGAACCAAACAACTGTTCTCTTATTGCAGCTGTTGAGAGAAACATCACATACAGCTGCACCCTGCAAGATCTGCTACAAAATCATCCAGAAAGAGTTCAAGAAACACTATTCTCTAATCTGACACAGATTATTTTTATGACAGACACATAAAACTAGTAAATGGGGGTTGTGTCAGATTCTTTGCTACTACACTGAGGCAATTTTCAGCTGCATTATTAGTTCATCATGGAGACAGACCTCAACATGATTTTGCAAATTAACTTTAGCTTTCTTTACTTAAAAACCACCTCTCATTCAAATAGCATAACTAGAAACAATGGCACACAGCATGTCATCACAGAAGTAGAAAACTACTCAACATCTTAAGTCAAAAGCATCACAAAAATGCCAAACACCTAGAAGTACCTCGTACACCCCAGGAATTCGCAAAGCACTAATTAATGTAACATTTACCTTTCTCTCAACCACAAGCAATGCTCATCTGGCAGCAGCAGGGGGGCTTGGCTCTCACCATTTACAGGTATTAAACATCAACTGGAAAGCAACTCAGTTGCTCTCTCCTATTATAAAAGTCTCCTAGATAACTACGGCATCAAATAAAGAGAAATCACGAGATAGCAAGAAGTCCTTAAGAGAAACACATGGTACCTACAAGCTGACTTCCCCAAAGATGTGGAACAAAGATGTGGCATGGTGTGTTTAACAGAAATGTAATTAGCCAACTGAACTATTATGAACCTAAAGTTTAATATTTGATATCTACTGGTAACACCCATATTACTCTCTTTTAAATTGACTTAATTAAATACCCTCTTCTCACGAGCAATTCATTCAGAATTGGAGCAGACAAACAAAAAAGCCTCATTTAACCATCCCCCCAGAGAACTGAATTCAGGAAAACGAATCCTACCTTGTTCAGTCTGCCTGTGAGATTGACAACGATCTTCCCAGCTCTGTGATCGTCAATTATCTCAAATTCACCAATGTAACCTAGAGAAGATCAGAAAACGGACAAATCAAAACATGGTAACAAGATACAGCACAGCTTGCTTGACTCACTTCAAGCATCTTGATTTAAGTCAAAAAAAAAAACAAAACACTGTAACACTACAGCATCTGCAGAATTCCATAAGTTTTTAGTAATTATGCTTTAAGTTACTTTACGTGTGCCTCTGATATGGCTCAGCTGCACCCAAATATCAATTGCTGTCTTTAGTTACACTCTGTAAAGGTGGAACCCATCTGAAATAGTGATTGGTTTGGTGTTTTCTTCTCCAGAACTTGTCCTGGACAAGGACACTTGTGGTAGTTCTAATGTTTGGACTTCCTTTATAAAGAATACTGTAACAGTATATAAGAAATAATCAATAAACTTATCCCCCCAAAAACAATTAACAGCACACTCACCTTAAAGCATGCCTACGTTCATAATTTATAATCATTTTAGAACAACAATTATCACCAATTCACTGTGAAAGTCTGAACAGAACCTAATCAACTCCACAAGATGCTCAAGTTTACCTGAAAATCTCAGTCACTAAAGCAAACCAGCCAGAAACCCTGAACCAGAGCAACATCAGCACTGCGGGGTCTCCACTCACCATGTTTCATCATCACAGTTAAAAACCGGACGATTACTTTGGAGCATGGTCTGATGAGAACTTGGCGTTTCCCACGTTTCTCTGCATTGTTGATGCTTTTGAGAGCATCGGCCAGTACGTTCATGCGCACCATGGTGCCTGGGGGGAAGGAGAGAGCCAGTTATGTACACCACATTTCCATCAGGGCCACACTGACAGAAGGATGCCTTTCTAAGACTGATTTTAGATCTAAAAGACCTAAGACTGATGAAAAAAATATGTTGTGCTAAACCTCAAAAGGCATCCTGAAGCAAAAAAATTAAGTTAATACACACTCAGGTGTGCTCAAGAGAATGCACAGCTATTGTAGCAACTTGGGAAATCTGACACAGCGTTGTTTAAACTTGAACTTTACCAATAAACACACGTGAAGATGTGAAGACCACCACGAAGACAACATGTCATCCGTGTGACATCTCTCCCAGGTGAGCATTTGGGGTTTTAGACCCCAGTTATGCAGTATCAGCCGCACTCAAGGACCAGCACATGCATGGCATTAACCATGCTAAACGCTGCTTAGCTTGCTCATAACCAGAAGAGTTACAGGACGACAATAACACGCGGCTCTTCCACCCAGGAGCGTGGGCACCAGTTCCTGCACTCCGGGGACGAAGACAAGCGCCCCGAGCCGTGCCATGCCCACCGAGCCACCCCCAACCGAGCCAGCGCTGCCGCAGCCCCCCGGGCAGCCCCCCCAGGCCCAGGGGCCGCTCCCCGCGGGCCAACTCCCACCGCACTCGTGGCTTCAGGCCGGAGCGAGGCAGCAACCCCCCCACCCCCGGGGCCGATCGCGCCCCCCCCGGGCCTCCCCTCACGGCCCCGCTTCCGCCACCTCCCTCAGCGCTCTCCCACCCCCCCCCCCCGGCTCCCCGCGGGCTCCTCAGAGGGCCGGGCGGGGGCAGCGGCGGCTCAAAGCGGCCCGGGCGGGTCGGGGGCAGTCCCCAGAGCCCGGCGGGGCGGACGGGGGCGGCGGCGGGGCGCGGATGGCGGCGGCGAGCGGCGGATGGTGGCCGGGGGCGGCGGCGGCGCCCAACTCACCGGCGCCGCAAGATGGCGGAAAAGGAAGGGGCCGGGCGCGCCGCGCGGGGTTATGGGAAGGCCGCGGCCGCGGGGTGGCGAGAGCGGCCCGGAGAGATCTCGCGAGAGCCCGCGAGACCCGGGCGGGAGGCAGCGGCGCGCGAGGCTCGGCCCCTCCCCATTGGTCGGGAGGCGCTTCCGGGGAGAGGCGGCTGCCCGCGTTCCCATGGCGACCGGGACGCTGCCGCTACGGCGGCCCCGAAGGGACAAAAGAAGCGGCGTTGTGTGAGTGCGGGGGCAGCCCTGGAACGCGGCACGGGGCACCTCCTGCCCGCAGCCAAGGCACGGAGCAGCTCCTGGTGCACGGCTCCCCCGGAGCTCCCGCAGTTTGTGCGCTGCTCGCATGTCACCTGCAGCATCCCCATGGCAAAGCCGCAGCGGGAGTTAACGCCGGAATTGACACCCCCAAAGGAACGCACGGCTCCTGCTGTAACAGCTCCCTCTGAGCCAGCCCCAGCCCGGGGCAGAGGTGCCAGCAGGGCTCCTAGCACCCAGCCCCAGCCCCCGCTGCCTTTTGACATGCCCCATTTCTTCCACCAACAGCTCGTGCCAGTTAACCAGAGCATTTCCCAAATAAATCTCTGCAGCTGAGATCTACTCCAAGATTCACTTACTGAGCCTGACTGTCCACAGCCCCGGGGGCTTCCACCAGTGTTAATTAACCACAGGTGGAGTTACAGCCTCACAGCCCTCCCCCCTGCAGCAGGAGCTGGCCCCACACTGCCAGGAGCTGTGCAGATCTCAGGGAGGTGCTGCAGGAGGACGCAGCCACGCATGGGACTACCACATGACACAAACACCACTTCCTCCTCCAGTTCCTCAGATGCACACACGGGATTTTTTGTATGGTCACAAAGAACAAGTCTGGAAGAAGTTTCTTCTTACTCTGTATTTGCCTATTCAACAGGTACAATACACCAAGAGTTCATTTTAAAACAGTAAACTTTTAAAATGCATTAACACAGGTTTTAGCTTTTCAAAGAAAAAAAGTTCAGTTTTTAAAAAAGGAGGGAGGTCATAGAAAAGCACGAACAACTCAGACAGGCTTATTTACAACAGACAAACTTAAGAATTTCAGGGTGATATGGTGTACAGACAACATTCATAAGACCAAACATGCTACATGGCTCTGTGACAACAGCAGTTTCAGAACAATCAGCTGTTAAGGTAACGCACCTTACCTCATTGTCTACAGTCTCAGTGCAATAAATTGAGGTTTACACTACAGCTACAGAGCTACAATTTATATATCCAGACCCCAATCTAGCAGATGATCTGGTCTATGCAGCCGGAAAAGCAAACAGACAACTGCTCACCTTCTGCCCGAGATATGGGTACACCCCCTCAGCTATGATCATTCCTACCCAGCTAATTGTGCCCCTTCCACAAGGCTCAGTAGTAACAAGCTTCCAAGAAGAAGTTTCCAGAACTTTCATACTTGCTGTAACTACAAGACATTAACCAGTGAAGCTACAGGTTATGAGAACACTGTCGCACACTACAATCGGGATGGGGCATTTTTGTAAGGGGCCTCTTCATTTGCTGACAAGACTAAAGCTCCGCACGGCAAAGGCCTGGATCCTTCCTATGAGATAGCTGCAGGCTGCAGAACCTTAACCTGGACAGCAAAAGAGAGAAACCCAGAGCAGCTGCTAGTGACATTTTGACTTCATCAGGGAGCCAATAAAAAAAAAAAAAGCAAGCCAGTGAGCAATACTACTTCTATTATCTTATGTATACATTAATTCTCAAAACTCTTTCCAAGGAAACCTTGCAAACAGCAGTCAAGTCTTCATTCATTTTTCTTTTCCTTGTGCTTGAGAAGCTTGTTTATCTCCCTTTTTGCCATTCCAACATACTTCGTAATGATCCCATGCTGGTTTAGTCCAGGAAACAGGAGCAAGAAACTCACTGGAGAAACAAAACCAAAAATTATTTACTAACCCTTTAACAAGCTTCTGTCACCTTGCAATTCCTCGCCTCTTGTAAGCCCCACTAACTGCTGAAAAACAAAGATGAAACCCCAGGCCAGAAAAAATTCCTCAACAAATAATCAAGTTTTACTACTACCAGCCTCATACCATTTTAGGAAGCTAACAAACTCAGTTTTGCTTTGCACACTACACACTTACCAATGAGATAAGTCAGAAAGAGGTTGTGAACCTGCTGTCCAATCCAGGCAACCACAGCAAGGGAACAAAGCATGGTCATGAAGTACTAAAACAAGCAAAGAGACCAGTTAACCACAGATCTGTAGGGAATTTTCCGCCTTCCCCTCAGCATTCAGCAACATGTCAAAGTTTAAAACCTGCTAAAGTTCCCCGGTCATCCCCATGCAATACACACAGCCTTGTTAGCATTGTGATTAGAGACTATGTCTGTACATTCCCTTTTATTTTCAGGCCATCACTGTTACAGTAAAGCAACTCTTTTCTATCCCTCACACCTTGCTATCCCTCAGCACCTGAAGCTTTATCCTCATCAGTATACTTCGTAGCTCCTGTACTTACACTGACACATTAAGGTCTTGTTTTTCAGGCAGATGGTGTGCAACTGAACACACACCTATTTTAATGTGCCCTTTACAGGCTGTTTCTGAAAATTGAAATATCCAAAGAAACACAATTTATCTTTATTTTAACATCAAGAGTACGCTTCTAATTGAAGCAGTATTACTATTTTAAAGACAGGTATCCTGCCACTCAGGGTTTGAATAGCATGTGTGACTGGCATTAAGCCACAGGCAGAATCGTTGGTTCCTGCTTCAAAATACTGGTTTATTCAGACACGTTCCTTGTTAAAGCACTTAGGACTGAACAAAGCAGAGATCATTTAATACCAACTCCCAGAACTCATTACCATTTTAGGCTTCTCTTCCTTTATTGTGAAGAGACGTTTCCACCAGCCAACAATTCGGCGACGAGACTTGACCAGGTTGCTGCAAATTTCATGAAATCTTTGCTGCTGTTCTGTAGTCCTTTTTTTTTTAAAAAAAAAAAAAAGACAGGAATAAGAACCCAAGTTTTCATCTCTCTCTCTATATTTTTTTTAAATGTCTCATACTATTTCCCAGCAGAAAGAAAAGTTGTCCAATACTTATCCTGACATTTGCCCCACTTTGTTTTGTACCCTATTTTTAACTGAGCATTGTCTCACAAATCAACTCCGAAAGAACCACCCCTATTCAAAACAGGAGAGCACTGCTTTTAATTATTCAATACCAATGTGCGTTCCTTTAGTACATTAGGCAAGAACATTTATCCACTAGTCAAAGTATACTAGAATTTTTAAACACAAAATTCAGTTCAAATATGGTTCACCTCCAGTGTACTGTGTTCATAAGCCCTGCCCTTCTTTGAAGCTATTTTAATCACTTATGATCACATTATCAGTCTTAAGATCCCTGGGCATTACTTCATCTTCTTCATATTTACAGCTACTACTTTTTCCAAACATAGAATACAATCCGCTTCATATTTTTTAGCAGAACTAGAATCTCTAGTGGACCGCAAAGAATGTGCCCTACCCCTTCAACAGGAACAATAAAGACATATTGCAGTAGTTACATTTCAAAAAAAAAAAAAGCAAGACATTTTACATGAGTTCTCACCTCATATACTATCGAGATTGTCAATTGCAATGACTATATAGGAATCATTTGACATTTGTGAAGTGGTAGATACCCATTTTGCTAAAGTTAATAATTCCTTTACACTCAAGCTATTTAAATTTGAGCTTTTCTTACCATTTATTAGAGCCAAAGATCCTAGGTGCAAGAGCAGGAACAAGATAATCAGCCAGACAGAGGAACATAACGAAACAGGAGACACCTGAAAGAACTGATGGATCCAAGTAGTAGATCATCCTGGAAAAAAAAACAAAAAAAAATAATAAACACTCAGTGTATTCAGCCATCTCAACAGATTGGCTAGGAACTTCAAATAGTAGACCTACCCCTTTGGAAAAAAAATTGAAGCTGGACAAATTTGCTCATCTTACTCATGAAAAGAGGCTTAAGCACTGTACTTCAGCTTCATTACAAGGAAATTCAGATGAAAAGATCAAAATACAATTTTCTGAATGCACTTGAACATAAAGTGCCACAATACAGCAAGCACAATATGATGTTCACTACAAGTAAAAATTCATTATTGCTCTCCCAGAAGTTGAGTTTGGGATGGGGATTTGTGAGGAAACACGTGAAACAACTAGGTAGGGTGAAAGCTCTCATCTTGTTGGTTCTTAAGTAAATCACAGGGTCCAGATCCACCCCAGGCTGCTGTTTACTGCCTCACCTGCAACAGCTAACCAAACCTGTTTCAGACAAGGAGTCACAAGCCTCCAAGCAGGACAGTGCTGTGCTCTTATATATGAGGTTTGCCACCATTTAAATACTGCTGTACAGGTAGTGGACAAGAACTAGCTTTTCTCATAAGCGTGTTAACATTCAGTTGAGTCCTGTGTAACTTATTTGCACTTTGCAGAACTTCTTGAACAGTGAAGAAAGAGACAAACCACTGCAGGGCCAGCTTTCTACACATCTGGCACAGTGCTGCTGTGCTGAACATTCGTCTTCAATACAGCACCAATTAAGAATTTGAAGCTGTTCTATTTCCTCCAAGTATTATTCAACACGCTATTTCCTGCGATTACATTACTTTTTAAAATTACAATTACTTTTCAAAATTACTTTTCAGTTTCATTCGACTTCCACCCTCCTCACCTCTCTTGAGGGCCATAAAATTTGCATTAGCCAGAAGACAGACTGTTCCTACCTCACCTTATTTGACATTCATACGTCCCCTCTTTTCCTTAGTCCAACAGCGCATGCAGCTGCAACTCTCCAGCTGGTGTGGACATTTATCTGTACAAGGTAGGAGCCACCCTGACTACCACCATGGCACACAAAGGCATGGACAGGCCTCCAGCACACCTATTTTGTACCCCTGTCAAAAGACGGGTAACATCCTCCCACTTTGACTCAATGCTGCATTCAGCCTGTCATTCTCTTCCTTTCTCAAAGGAGAAAAGAGAATCTAGGAGGACCAAGTTGTGTGAAACCAACTGAATTTGTCACTAAACACCACAGCAAAGACACAGAGTAGCTAGTAAGGAAAGTTTGCCCTATGGAAGCAGGTTTTTCCTTATGACCATAATGGTATTGCTGGTTGCTTAGGGAAGAAGGCCAGAAGATGACCAGATCTGACAAGCAGAACACACCAGTAACAGCACACAGCTGAGCATGCTGAAGAGCTACAGCAACTCCGCCTACCAAACAGCTTTTGCAGAAAGCACCATCCCCCCAGTAGGACGCGACTTGTCTTACTTCCTGTTCCCAATTCTGGGTTTTTCTTTTCAGAGTTTACACGCGTTCAGAAATAGAACTTGAAGAGCCTTCCTATGTGATTTTTTTAAGATGTCTTTGTAGTCTTTTCTTAGCAGTTTTGCTACTAGCCATGAGCGCAGTGCTCATGCTCTCTCTATGAGCTACTTACAGGAAAGAAAAGGAAACAACACTCATCAGCGCAAGAGGAAACCAGGCTCTCTCCCAGCGAAGAATTTTATCAGTCATCAAAATCACTTCTCCCCATCCTTGCAACTGCTCTTCCAAGCTAGCAGTTTCCGCAGCCTACACAAAAAAAAAAGAGAAGAAAGTGTTATTACTAATCAGAATCAGATTATTTCCCATACAGAGTAGCTGAAGAAAATGTCAGAGACCCCAGCCACGAATCCAAGTAATTAAATTATTAATAACGCACTAAGTTATGACACAGTAGAAAGGAAGTAACAGCATATCTTACCAGGCTAAATGCTACCTCCTCACAGATTTTATCAAGGTGTTCTCCTTGAATCTTCCCTCAGTTTAGTGAAAAGTCAAGTTTTAAAGCCCAGCTAAAACCCCTCAACTTTTAATTTTCAACATCAGGAAAATATATTTTAAATAGCTCCCACGTTGCAGCATTTTCAAAGATAACCCTAACACAGTTAATCAGTTTTCTAGATGTTGTCCAACACTAACATTTTTGCTATATGGAAGATAGTTGAAAACACTCAGAAGTACAGTATGGAAAAGTTACCCAGCTGATCACACTTGGCATGCAAAGAGAAAGTTTTCCTACCAGTTGCCCACGACAGTGACCAGGCAGCCTTTAAACTGCTGTTCCCATATTATTTCTCCATTCCTCCCCACGCACCTTTTGCAGAGAGGCCCTGCCTGCCCTGGCACCAGCTTGCTAAGCAGTTCACCTCAGGTGTGCCACATTTAGCATGGCTTAATAGTTTGCCCTCAGGGGAACAATGGATCTCACAGATTACAAAATCCTCGTAAACACGAATGGAGCTGACTGCCCCCACAGTAAGGGGTAAAAAGCCATGGAGACCTGCACATGTGCTGTGCAGAGATAGAGCAGATGTAGTTCTCAATCACATGCTGCTCTTATCTTAAATGGCCTGACACCACTAAATATGGGCAGCTGAGTGCAGCTACCACTGTAAGGCATAGTTTACTTTTGTCACACCATCTGAATTATTAGAAAACCACGTTTCAGGGCAAAAAAAAGAATCAGAAAGCTATCTCACAGACTGCTGAATACCCTTCAGTCATTGTATCTTGCTCATGTTATAAACACAAAACCTTACACAAAACAGCTGCTTTACTCCAGAAATCAGTTTATGACAAGCTGGTTTGACTTTACTAACTCTGGCTGCATGCATTTATCGCAACCAAGAGAAAATTAATGGGAAGCATACCGGGATGTAAGAGCGTTATTGATCGTGGTCAGGCTACCACAAGTCAGCTTCTGTCAATACCGCTCCGGTCCTAAACACTCCTGATGGGCAGGATCTAGCACAGTGGTGTTTCCCCCCCTCCCCTCCCTTAATTAAAAAAAGCTTCCATAAATGTGAACTGTTGTGAATAGGGCATCCACTCCTCTAGGATACTTGAATCCGAAGCAGCCTTTTCCTGCAGAAGCTCAGGCTTCCCTTCCACCCCCAGGCTGCTGAGGGTTTCCTTCACCCCTTCCCAGATAAATAACGCTCTAGGAAGCTTCCCTTCTTCACCTTTTGCCTTTTAATGCCTTTCCAGCACCCACGCTTACGATCACAGACATAAAGGCGTTTCTTTAAGCTTAGGAGCATTTCTGCTCCCCCGCCCAACGGCCCGGCCGCTGCCCCCTCCCTCAGCCCCGGCGCTGAGGGGACGGCCGAAGGAGCCCAAACACAGCCGCGGCCGTTAAACGGCACCCGGAGCATCCTGAGCAGGGCAGGGATCGCCACCAGCTCCCGCCCGAGCACCGCCCAGCAGCCCCATCCCCTCACCAGCTGGTAGGCGCTGTTGTTGTCGCCCTCCGCCATCTTGTGCCGCCCTCCTCACGCCGCCGCCCCCGCCGCCTTTTGTAGCCGCCGCAGCACCGTGTCCGCGTCCCGATTGGCCAGCTCGAACGCCGCGCGGACCAATCGCCGAGCCCTCGCCGCACCCACGCCGCAGCCGGTTGGGCGGTGGGGTTTGAAGCGAGGCGGTTGACCAATCAGCGCGCGGGGCGGGCGCCTCCTCCCTTCTCTCCGTCGCAATGCGACGGCGGCGGCGGGCGGGGCCCGGGGCGGGCGGGGGCTGAGGGAGCTGTGCCGGGGGCGGGGCAGCGCAGAGGCTGTCAGCGCTCGGGGCGTGTTTGTAGTTTAAATCTTTACCCCCCAGCGCCGGAAATGTCGTTTTTAAGAGGCAAATAAGTGGAAGGTTTGGGGTTTCCTAAAATTCATAGAGTCATTAGGGTTGGAAAAGCCCTCCAGGAGGTCCAGCCACCCGCTACCACCAGTGTCACCCACTGACCGTGTCCCCAAGCACCGCGCCCAACCCCTCCTCGAACACCCCCAGGGACGGTGACCAGCTCTGGGCAGCCCGTCCCAGCGGTGCCCGCTCCTTCTGACAGAAATGTCTCCTCATCTCCACCCTGAGGCTCCCCCGGCACACCCTGAGGCCGTTCCCTGTGGTGCTACCACGAGAAGGGCGGCTCCTCTCCCCGGCACACAGGGCTCGAGGACGGGTTTGGGGCTTAGGAAGCGGGGGGCGCGTTGCTGAGGCAGCGCAGGGCCGCGGGTGTCTCAGCAGCGAGCAGGGCAGCTCAGTGGGTGTGAGGCAGCACCGCGCCCGGGGGGGATTCCTGGGTTACCACACAGGAAGGCTGCCCGGCTCTGACAACCGCAGCTGACCCAGCTGGAGTAATTGCCACCTGTCCAGCAATTTTATTTTTTTTTAGGTCAGTGCAGCATTGGAACAGGCATGGGAGAAAGGCATTAGGACATAAATATTTTTTTCTGACACAGCTTCCTAAATGTTACAGTCACACACGCTACGAGCTTAATCATAGTCTCTGCAATGCAGTGGCAAACGGAGAGAAAAAAAAAAAAAAACACACAACACATTTTTAATTATTTCCAGCACAAAAATTGCAGTGCTTTTCCAGCCCTTCTCCCCAGTTTCATGGAGAGGAAAAAATGAAGGACAGAGAGCAGGATACCATCTCAGATGTACCATCTACTTTAACATGTGCCTGTACTGAATTGTTTGATCTTTTCCCAGGTTCTCTTTGGACTTGCTCAAGGCTGTATATAAAGAACAGATACATGATATTTTTGAACATCTTTCAAATTCATTTGCATGTTATTAAAATCTAAGAATATCTTAGTGTACTGTTTTGCACTAAGAAATGGTGGAATCCACTCTCAAAATCCATAACTGCACCACGGCAAAGCTCACACAAAAGCTAATTTCTAAAGCAAGTGATGCCAACAGTGATTTTGATGAAAGTATTTGAGAAAGCATGGTCTCAAGCAGAAAGCATAATGCATTGCGTTAACCATTCCTAGGAGCATTTGCAGCCTCCACAGCTATTTGATATAACCATCCAGCTCCTGGTTTTATCCATCTGTATGATACTCACTGAAAAACACAACTACTTACCACCAAAAAAACCCAGGAACTTCCATCATCTTTAATGCTGCTGTCAGATTCATCATCTTCGAGCTAGTCTTTCACATGCCAGCGCCTGAATCAGTCTCCCATTATAACTTTCCTCCCATCCAAGGGAACCCCCGCAAATGCCATTTCCTTGTGTGCTTCTCTGTGGCTGAGGGGCAGGTGGGACAGTGAGTCTCGCAGGATGCCTTTTCTGCCCCAAAACAGCAGAGCTGCACCAGCACACTGCACTGAGCAGAGCGTAGGGTCCTGCCCTGCTGCCCAATGCTCCCCAGCCAGACTGGTGGAAGCCCAGTGTAAAGTGGGCATCAAGCATCACCAATGCTTTTATAGAAACTTCATTCCAAAAACTTAGAGGATATTTTCTCATTTTCCTTAGAAAAATGGTTCCCAGCCCGTTTTTTTCTTTTAATTGAAAAGAAAAATGAGCAACTTTGTCTTAATAAGGAGTATATTGCATTAATATGAAAGGTAATCTTATTTAATATGCAATATGCAAGCACAGAATCTACATTTTAGGTTTAACCAAGTCTGTACCAGTGTGCCATATTGTCACCCTTCACCAAGAACAAAATGAACAACCTTCACAAATGCTGACAGTCACACTAACTTCTAAGCATGTTAGGTGTTTAGGTGTCTCTTCAACATGAGCTAGGCAAATATAAGTCTCTGTAGAATCCTGTTTTAATTTAGGATTTGTTTTATATTAAGCATTTTATTCTCCACCATAACTTTCAAAACCACAAGTAGTTTGACGTAAGGAAATTATGAATACACATTTTATTTTTTAAAATTTTATTAAATTACGCAGTAAAGAACCCATCTCCACACAAGTGTTTCATTTCTGGATAGCAGAGGTATAATACATGAGCCACAGGTGAGTGCATTACCCCTCCCTTCCCCCCAGCTTCCAAGAAATAAAACAGCATGTATAATACACTCTTGTTACTCCGGTACTCCAAACAGATTGTTCATAAGGTCATTTTTAACTGAAGAAAAAGTAAAAAAGGACCAACAGTGTAAAGTGTCTTGTTCTGCATATGAATGTTCTTCACGGCAACATTCCAATACCTTCTTTCTTGCAATACTCGGCATGGCAGAGGGTTCAGGACAGTGGAATGCATTTGCAAGGGTATTGTTAAATATAAAGCCTGTGACTTCCCTAGAGTTATTCAGGCAATCAGAATGCAAAAAAAAAAAAAAAAAAAAGGCCATATGTCTGTTGAAAATTCTTACACTTCAAAGTGCATGTCCACAAAAAATTGGCAACAGAGTAGAAATTGAATCCTAAGACCTACTGAGGAGGCAGAGCAGTTAGTCAGCATAGTGCAAATAATGAAAATAATACAAGTTCTTCTACTACTTATGCCTGGTGTTAATTTGTATTATCTGAAACTAGCCACGCTTTCTACTCAGATGAACTGCTGCAAATCCATTCAATTGAATGAATATGTTGCCAGTAGTGAGCTTGGCTCAAATCCTTTAATACTTAAATTTTGATTGAAAAAATGCTGTATTTAAAGTGTGCTTTTACTCTCAAAAGTGACTAAAATGGCATAAAGGATCTTCCCATACCTCATTCTTCAGCAACTGTCTGTAATGAACTCACAGAGTTTACAAAAGATAAACACTTTTCATACATAGCTATGCAAATTTATCTTGGTTGAGAATGCCAGTGTGGATTTCTGCTTTAGCTATCAGCACCTGTAAGATTCTGTTGTTGTAACTGGATTGTTAGATTTATTTGCTGTAAGAAAAAGAGGTTGCCTTTTCCTAGAGGTGTCCCACTTAAAAATAAAAAAATGAAGCAAGAAGTATTTTAGACAACTCTCAGACAAGCAGGACATAGATCTAAGAAGATGCCATTTTTAGAGAGACTTTTCTGATCATAATCACACTTTGTGTGCAGAACTGATTTGAAAAAAAAACTTGGAAGATTCGCTATGGATGCATTATTGAACAACCATCTATAAAAGCAATCTGGCAAAGCAAAATTACTTTGCAGAAATCTTTACAGATCTGGTTGAACAAAAAATTGGAGAGTCCTTCATTTCCTGGATTATATGTATGCCCCTGTGAACTGAAGCACTATAATTTACAAGTGTGAACTAAAAGTATTAGGAAAGTGAAGTAAAAAGCGTATCACTCTACCTCCACCAGAACATCACTTTATTGTTTATCTGTCATCAACAATGTAAAACTCTACTAGATACTCTATCCTGGTTTTTAAAAAGGTAAAGATTACATTGGATTAGCTACGTCGTACGAAAGAAACTACAGCAATCACAGTAGAATGAGATTGGAGGGACAATTTGAATTACAAAAAAGTGTACACTGCAAGCAGAGGGAAGTGCACATTAAATCAAATGCCTGTAGGATTCATTACTTTTAAATGCACAGTGACAATTTTGAGAAACTGTACATAATAGAATCACAGAAATGACTTTAAAATAACCAAAATTACATTTTGCATTTGACCATCCAACTCATAAGTAATCATTGATGTTCCATATTTTCAGTGCTTTTGGAAAATTTGTTTACCAAACAAAATTTAAGTTGTTAATTTGACTAAACTGTGAAGTAGAAGGATCGAAATAAAAAGTATATTGGAAGTACGCCTAACCTACAAGAATAAGCCAAGAGGGGTGTATGCAAGGAGAGGCTGGGAAGGAAGAAAGAAAGGAAAGAGGAAAGAGGAAAGGGAGAACAAAGGCTTTTTCTTCTATCTCAGAAGTTCTTCCAATGCAGCGTATTTCTGATGTACAGCTCTTTGCTTTCAGTCCATTTCTGAAGTTTACGTTTTGTAGCCTTTTTCCGTACTAACTGGTCAACTCAACCAGCACTGTTGCCAAGCAACAGGAGTAACAAGAATCTGAATGCATCAAATCTTCCTTGCTGTGATTTCTTCATGGCCCCATTTTTTCTGTTTTTCTTTGAACAGGGTTCGGTGTTTCCTGAATTGTTCACAGGGTCAGGTGGAATTGAGTTCCAAATCACTCTGCGGTTTGTAGCATCCCGATTTCTTTCTGCAGCTAACCCCCAGACACGTTTGCAGTTCTTCCAGAGCAGAAAGACAAACCGTGTTGTTCAAGCGGTGAACGTGCACCCTTGACCTTGGGGGTTGCAGACCATTGTGTTTAGCGTATCCCTGAGTGCAGCTATCCTGCAGGATTCACTTCCCAGTGCACCGAGATTTCCTAGGTTTCCTCAGATTAAGCCCCAGTATGCATCACCACCGACTGTGGTGCGGCTATGGATGCCTGAGGCCGAGTTGATTCTGGTGGATGTCTGACCTCGCTGAACCAGACTGATCTGCTTTCTCCCTACTCATACCCAGGCAGTCCAACCTTCATACAGCTGAGCCAAGTTATCTAGATTAGTTGCTTCCTTAATCACAAAGTCAACCTATTAAAAAGGTCAAACAAGTAATTAAAACATGCTTTTTTTTTTTTTTTTTAAAAAAAAAGTGTTTAAGCCATCTTAACATTTACTGTAAA